TGGCATTCATGGCTAACGCAGGACTAGAACTCCCTGTCTCCTGGTGACTGATAAGAAGTCACTCAACTCAAAGTCACCAGGTGGCATTCGTGGCTAAGGCAAGACTAGAACTCCCTGTCTCCTGCTGATTGGTCCAATGTTATCCAGCCAGCTTTTGTGCCTAAGGCGGGACTAGAACTCATTGTCCCCTGATTTCTAGCCTGGTGCCTTCACCACCTGACCACACTGGCTCTATCCATATTGAAGTTATCTACACAGGAAGTACAACCCTTAAGCTCCCTGAGCAGGGAGATGGGGATGTGCAAGGGTGAGCTGTTGGGGGTTCGCAGGGGTTCGGGAGAACCTCTAGCTGAGATACTGTACAATTCGGAGAACCCCCAAATCCCACTCCTGGCTGGCCCCACCCACCCCGCCGTGCCCCTCCCAGGAGTCCCCATGCAGTCCGTTTTGGATGCAGGTAAGTGCAGGGTGCGTGTGGAGCAGTGGTGGGTTTCAAATTTTTTTACTGCCAGTTCTGTGGGTGTGGCTTGGTGGGCGTGGCATGGTTTGGTGGGCGTGGCTTGGTAGGCGTGGCAGGGGAAGGATACTGCAAAATCCCCATTTCCTCCCAATCAGCTGGGACTTGGGAGGCAGAGAATCAGGGGTGAAATGCTCCCGGTTCGGACCGGATCGCCCAATCTGGTAGCGATGGTGGCGAGTGGTTCGGAGAACCGGTAGCAAAAATCCCTGTCCCCCTTCCCATGCCCAGCTGAGCCGTGCAATCATCAGAGGCTGTTTTTTTTATTTTTAAAAGCATTTTTTCTTCGGCCAAAAAAATGCTTTTAAAAGTAAAAAAATAGCCTCTTGACGATCATGCGGTTTAGCTGGGATCGTCAGAGGCTTTTTTATACCTTTTGAAAGCATTTTTTCTACAACCTCTTCACCGAAAAGCAAAAAAGCAAAAAAAAAAAAATGCTTTTAAAAGAAGGCAAAAGCCTCTGACAATCAGGCAACTCAGCTGGGATTGTCAGAGGCTTTTAAAAGCATTTTTTTTACAACCTCTTTGGCTGAAGAGGTTGTAGAAAAAATGCTTTTGAAAGTAAAAAAAAAAAAAAAGGCCACGCCCACCCAGTCACATTACCCCTCTCACCAAGCCACGCCCACAAAACCGGTAGTAACAAATTTTACATTTCACTACTGAAGAGAATAGATGGGGGCGGAGCCAGTCAGAGGTGGTATTTACCAGTTCTCCAAACTACTCAAAATTTCCGCTACCGGTTCTCCAGAACTGGTCAGAACCTGCTGAAACCCATCTCTGGTGGGGAGGCTCAGGGAAGGTGAAAAACGGGCCTACCGGGAATTTGTGAAGGCCGGAAACGGGCCCAGAGGGCCTCTGGAGCCTGGGGAGGCCGTTTTCGCCCTCCCAGAGGCTCGAAAAAAGCCTCTGGAGCCTGGGGAGAGCAAAAGTGCCCCCCCTCCACCGTGGTGCAGGAGGCCGACTAGGCCACGCCCACCATGGCCACGCCCACCCAGCCATTCGGCAGAGAACCCCTTGCTAAAATTTTTGAAGCCCACCACTGCCCCTTACCTGAAGCCAGTCATGCCATTGGAGAGCTACGATGCAGATTTACGGACTGCAAAAGAACGGCAGCGCTACCTGGGTGGACATTCTTGGCAATACGCAACACAGATATTTTGGGCTGTGCATCTTACCTTCTGCTCGTGCTTAGGCAAAGCTACGCAGGGAACCGATTCTGTGGACGGAAGCTCATACCATGGGATTGAAAATTTTCGGCCTTCTTCTTTGGTACAGTTGGTTTTCACCAAAAATTGCGTGAAGGTCACGATAGTGCCAGTGGCGCTCTGGAAGAGGAATAACAAAGGTTGGAGGGGACCTCAGAGGCCTTCTAGTCCAATCCCTGTTCAAGCAGGGGGCCCGATACCATTTCGGTCAAACGGCTTCTTTCAATCTCTTCTTGGAAGCCTCCAAACGCTAGAGCATTCACAACTTCTGGAGGCAAACTGTTCTGCTGGTTAATTGTTCTCACTGTCAGGAAATTTCTCCTTAGTTCTAGGTTGCTTCTATCCTGAATCCTAGGGACCTTGGAGGTCATCTATGCCACTCCGCTGCTGCCCAATGGAGAAATCCTCAGACTACCCCAGGCAAGGAACTATCCCGCAGCTGGAGAAAATGAGTGAGAAACAGACTCACCAGTCATGAAGTGAAGCAGCAAGCACTGAGCCTCGGTGGCGTACTGGTTAGAGCACAGTACTGCAGGCTACTTCTGCTGCCTGCCAGCTGCCTGCAATTTGGCAGTTCAAATCCCGCCAGGCTCAAGGTTGACTCAGCCTTCCGTCCTTCCAAGCTGGGTAAAATGAGGACCCAAAGACTGACTCTGTAAACCACTTAGAGGGGCCTGTAAAGCCCTGTGAAGCGGGCTATAAGTCTAAGTGCAATTGCTATTCTTCCTTCCTTCCTCCCTCCCTCCCTCCCTCGGTGTTTACTCCCTTGAAAGGGGTAAACCCTGTGCTGCTATGTATGGAGTTATTACAGGCCACCTCTGCGAACGGCAATAAATCTGCCCAGTTATCTTGCTGATAATTTATGTAACATCTCAGATATTGTTCCAATATGGAATTGGTTCTTTCACAAGCCCCATTTGTCTGGGGGTGGTGGGCAGAGCTTAAACCCTGGGTGGTGCCTATCAACCCTAGGAACTCTCTCCAAAAATGGGAGGTAAATTGAACTCCCCTGTCCGAGATTATATTTTTTGGAGCACCATGTAACCTGTACACATGGTGGACAAACATTTTCGCAAGTGTTTTTGTGGAAAGGATCTTGGGACATGGAATGAAGTGCACTTGTTTGGAAAACAAATCAGTAACCACCCAAATAACTTTGTTCCCCCCCACTTTCGGGCAATTCTACAATAAAATCCATGGAGATCTTCTTCCATGGGGCATCTGGTCTGGCAACACTCTGAAGTAGTTCAGGTGGCTTTCCAGGAGGTCTCTTGGATGACGCACACACGGGACAGCTGGCCACATATGCCTCTATGTCTTTCTTGAGTGCGGGCCACCAGAATTGTCATTTGACTAGATGTAGCGTTTTCACAAATCCGAAATGCCCAGCAACTTTGGCATCATGAGCGTGCTGTAGAACTTTTGCTCTCAAACCGGCGGGAACATATAACTTGGCTCCCACCCAAGCAAGTCCATCCCGAAGCGTACACTCATTCGAATGGGCCAGAAACCACTCGTCGGTTTTTAGAGCTTCTTGTAGTTGCTTAGTCAAGTCGTCCGACAGAGTTGGATCTGCTTTCGCCTGGGCTCTAGTAATTACTGGTGCAGCCAGATGCACTGAGGGGATAATTGGCTGAATCACCTCCTCTCTAACATTATTGTATTGCGGCAGTCTAGAAAGGGGATCTGCCATGAAGTTCTTCCCTCCAGGAAGGTAGCGCAGGGAGAAATTAAATCGTTTGAAGTGATGAGCCCAGCAGACTTGCTTTGGGGAGAGTTTATGAGGCGTTTTTAAAGCTTCCAAGTTTTTGTGGTCAGTCCACACCTCAAACGGGTGCTTAGCCCCCTCAAGGAACTGTCTCCATGTTAATAGTGCTCATCGAACTGCAAAAGCTTCCTTCTCCCATATGGACCATCTCCTCTCGGTCTCTGTCAGCTTACGAGAGGTATAGGCATAGGGCCTATTCCTTCCTTCCTTCCTTCCTTCCTTCCTTCCTTCCTTCCTTCCTTCCCTCCCTCCCTCCCTCCCTCCCTCCCTCCCTCCCCAGAATGCAGCATTGCAGGCTAATTCTGCCCACTGTCAGCAGTTCGATCCTGACCAGCTCAAGGTTGACTCAGCCTTCCATCCTTCCGAGGTGGGTATGTAAAATGAGGATTGTTGGGGGCAAGAGGCTGACTCTGTAAACCGCTTTAGAGAGGGGGGTAAAGCATTGTGAAGCGGTATATATGTCTACGTGCTATTGCTATATTATAAAATACGTTCTTGCAAGAGCAGGTGGCCAGCTATGAGGGCACACAGAAGAATAAATTTCTCCAAGTTTTTATTCCCTCCACCCGAACCACAAATCCCCCCTGCAGCCGCCTTCGACAAAGACCACAGGATTGCAATCTTCCTAGAACGCCTGTTTCTCCACGAATCTCCCCCCCCCTACTTAATCTATTTCCCTGCCTTTTGCCCAGTTCCCCTTTTTTTCTAGACTATTTTTTGTCCCCTTTTTAAATTTCTTAACCTATATTTCCTTACAAACCTTGCAGCATAAGCATAATAAATTGAGAGCAGTCTCTGTGTTAGACTGTGGGGTGAAAACTGTTAACTTAATCTGCTTGCCCGAATTTGAGTCGTTGATCGGAATCGCAGACTCTTCCCGTTTTTCCAGTCTCGACCGTTTTACCCTTCAGGTCCCAATGTCTTACTGGACTTTTAAACCCACGTCTCTCAAAAGTTGCTCCCTCTGCAAAAAAACAACACTATCTCTAACAAACACCCTTTGAATGGGGTGGGAGGAGGACTGGATTTCCAGAGGAAAAAATTGCAGGCTATAAGGAGCCAGGAGCCAAGATGCAGAAAGGCCTCCAAGTGGCCTCAACGACTCTCTAAAACAGTGTTTCTCAACCTTGGAAGCTTGAAGATGGGTGGACTTCAACTCCCAGAATCCCCCAGCCGTATTGTAGTTTAGGAAAGGGTGTTAAAACTCCAGGAAATGTAGCCCACCTCTTTTCAGAAAAAGAAAACGAAAGGACTACGAAAAATCTATCTGAAACAGTGACCCCTTCTCCAACGGCATGCAGGAAAGCGGAGGAACCGAGAAGTAAGAACTAAGGAGAAATTTCCTAACGGTGAGGACAATTAACCAGTGGAACAGCTTGCCACCAGAAGTTGTGGGTGGGTCCAGAAGGGGATTTTCTCGGGGCTCGTTTTTGGAGTGAGAGCGGGCAAATGACAGATAGGGAGTTGTTAGTTTGGGATGGGTCAGGGGGTAGCCAACCTCCTCTGTGGATTGCATAACCCATCATCCCAACTGCGCCCCTTTCCAAGGCTGTCCCTTGAATTACCTTTACTTTGACATCTGTATCTTCTATGGGTCTGTAGAAAGCAGTTTTGTGTTTGTTGAAGTAATCCAGAGCCTGTTGCTTCAAGAACATGGATTCATATATGCTTCTGCTGTCCTGCTGCATAATTTCGCGATGCCTCTTCGCTCTTTCCTCCAGTTCTTCCGAAGTCGGTTCCTCTCGAACCCGTAGCTTCTTCCCCTGTCTTTTTGGTTCTTCCGAATTCGGTTCCTCTGGAACCACCTGCTGCTCCTCCTCTTTTTCCGGTTCTTGCGACGTGGAATTCCCTTTAGGGCAGCAGCTCTTTTCTGGAGGCACTCCTGGTCCACAACATTCCTTTTTCTCCTCCGCCACTGAGGTCCCCCAAACCAGGACACAGGCCAGGAGCAGCTGCAGACCCACCAGGGAACTTCTCATGATGGCCAGGAGACACAGCAAAGGTCGAAACCGTGAGCTGGAGGAAGGAAGGGCATTGATATAAGCTCCGAGGAAGCCTCCCCCTCCAGGAAAGCTCCACCTTCAATCCAGAAGAAGCCCTCCTCCTGAGGTTGGGTCTCTCTCTCTTCTGCTAAGCTTGATCCAAAGAGAAGAGTTGGTCAAACACAACGACCTACCTTGCTCAGAGGTTCTCCTCGTCCTTTTCTCCTCTTAGAATAGGAATAGAATCACAGAGTTGGAAGGGACCTTGGAGGTCTTCTAGTCCAACCTCCTGCTTAGGCAGGAAACCCTACACCACTTCAGACAAATGGTTGTCCAACATCTTAAACACTTCCAGTGTTGGAGCATTCACAACTTCTGGAGGCAAGTAGTTCCACTGGTAGATTGTTCTCACTATCAGGAAATTTCTCCTTAGTTCTAAATTGTTTCTCTCCTTGATGAGTTTCCACCCATTGCTTCTTGTCCTGCCCTCAGGTGCTTTGGAGAATAGCTTGACTCCCTCTTCTTTGGGGCAGCCCCTCAAATATAAGAAGACTTCTATCATGTCTCCCCTAGTCCTTCTTTTCATTAAACTAGACATACCCAGTTCCTGAAACCATTCTTCTTTATATGTTTTAGCCTCCAGTCCCTTAATCCTCTTAGTTACTCTTCTCTGCACTCTTTCCAGAGTCTCAACATCTTTTTTGACCAAAACTGGATGCAGGATTCCAAGTGTGGCCTTACCAAGGCATTATAAAGTGATAGTAACACTTCACGGGGGTCTTGATTCTATCCCTCTGTTGATGCAGCCTAGAACTGCGTTGGCTTTTCTTGGCAGCTGCTGCACACGGCTGGCTCATATTTAATCTTATTTATGCATTTCTTCTGACTCACTGATGGAAGCTGAGATTGACTTTCAAACTCAGATGAGGTTAAGCCTTTCTGAAATTATATACCATTTTACCTGGGCAATCCATGTCCTCCAGCATCTGGGAAGAATCTCAGGCCAATTTATTTTTGTGCCAGTGAGGACAGGCGTATTCAGAAGCACACCTGTATGTCTGAATGGGCCTCTCTCTCTGAATGGGAAGGGTTTGGGGGTCAGAAGGTTAGTATCGGCTACGACGAAGTCGGGGCCAGATCTGTCGTGCTCAATAAATGGAATATTTCAGCAAAGATTAATTGTTTGGGAGTGCAATTTATTTGAGATGACATCGAAACCTGACACATGGCTCGTTTCATGAAAAGTAGGGGTGGCGTGATAGCCGTCTTCCAATATTTGAGGGGCTGCCATGAAGAAGAGGAGAGGGTCAACCTCTTCTCCAAAGCACCCGAAGGCAGGACAAGAAGAAGCAACGGATGGAAACTAACCGAGGAGAGAAGCAACCTGGAATTAAGGAGAAACTTCCTAACAGTGAGGACAATTAACCAGCGGAACAGCTTGCCACCAGAATTTCACTCATCACTGGAGGTTTTTAAGAAGATACTGGACAGCCACTTGTCCAGAATGATATAGGACTGTGATGGTGAACCTACGGCACGCGTGCCCAAAGTGGCACACGAAGCCATGTCACCCAGCACGCCCGGTCTTGTCTGTTTGTCTTCTGGGTTTCTGGCACGCATGCACATGTGACGATCATCTATCCTTCGTGTGCATGGCAGTGCCAAAAATCGGCTTGCACATGCACACCGGACAGCTGATCGTTGGGTGCGCATGCACCAGGGGTGGGTTCTACTTACTTTTACTACCGGTTCGCAGCGTGGCCGCGTGCTCTTCTGCACACGCACTCTTCTGCGCATTTTCATGACATCGGAGTTGGTGGGCGGAGCCTCCCACCGGTTTTACTACCGGTTCTACAGAACCGGTGCGAACCGGGGGCAACCCACCACTGGCATGCACACTAGTACCCGGAAGTTCAACTTTTCCGGAGCGCGCCCCCGACAAGCCATCACTGGTATAGGATCTCCTGTATGAGTAGGGGGTTGGACTAGATGATCTCCAAGGTCCCATCCGACTCTGTTATACTGCTGCTCCTGTTAACCCTGGGCACTCTAAGTATCTGAGATCACAACAATCAGAACAGTCAAGCCACAAAAAGCCCATCCCTGGACTTTATTTTATTGATTGATTGATTGATTGATTGATTGATTGATTGATTGATTGCGATTTATATGCCGCCTTTCTCCCTAGGGACTCAAGGCGGCTTACAAAATGACAACTTCAATACAAATCACAATACAATACCAAATTAAAATCAGTAACCCAATTAAAAAACGATTTAAAATTATACCAGTGTACCCCCAAACGTGTGGTGGGAAGTGGTGGACTTCCCACCACACAGGAAGACGCAGTTAAGAGGAAGACAGTTTGGCTGATTTTTTGGTTTCGGCAGGACATGGTCCAGCTCGGCTATTTCTCAAGCTCGGCTGCTTTAAGATGGGTGGACTCCAAATCCCGGAATTCCCCAGCCAGCATGGGAATTGTAGTCCACACATCTTAAAGTTGCCAAGCTCGAGGGACGCTGCTCCGGATGGTGATGCCACGTTTCCAGCCATGTGCCAACACAGCAAGTTTGTGCGCTTCTGTTCTGGTTGCGTGGCACGGTCCTTCTTGGGTCCCCCCCCCCATCTCCTCGTGCCTCAAGCTCCCCCAAGCATAAACCCAGGTCTTTGAAGCCAAGGAAAATGAAAGCACAGGTCAGTGGCACGGACAGGTTTCCGAACAAAGGAGAAGGGGCACCATTCATTGGGATTTTTGTCAACAAGGTTTTGGCAAAGGGCGTTATCTGGGCTCCCCGAAAGAGGCCCTGTTTCTAAGCCAGCCGCGGTCCAAAGAAAAGTTCAAGGGGGATTATGAAGGGCTTGGCTGAAGCCAAAGTCAACCTGGCCTTTTCTGCGGGGTTTCTGATGCGAAATGTCACTGCCCTTCCGTGCGGTTGGTTGAGCAGCCCGCTGGGTCTGGTGTCCGGGTTGAAGGATGGATGACAGGTGGCCACAGATAAGCCTGATTGTGCTTTGTGTTCGGGTTCAGGGTGGGACGTCGTGTTTTCTCTTAGGAAGCCGGTGTCCTGGGTTGCTTGGTTGGTCTGCAGGCTGAGAATTGTCTTTCCTCCCTCCCTCCCTCCTGACAGTGAGAACAATTAGCCAGTGGAACTCCTTGCCACCAGAAGTTGTGAATTCTCCAACACTGGAGGCTTTCAAGAAGAGACTGGAGAGCCACTTGTCTGAAATGGTACAGAGTCTCCTGCTGGAGATTCTGTACCATTTGGGGGGTTGGGCTAGAAGACCTGCAAGGTCCCTTCCAGCTCTATTCTGATTGATTGATTGATTGATTGATTGATTGATTGGTGAGGCTAGAACCAGGAGACCTTAGCTGTAGTTCAGGCACAGAGTCCAGCTGGGGGACTTTGGACCAGTCCCTCTTTTTCACTCCTAGGAAGCCCCTTCTGAAAATATCTGGCCAAGAAAACTGCAAGGACTTTCAGTGCAACTATCCAGAGTCATACAGGGACGCAGTGGCTCAGCGGCTAAGATGCTCAGCTTGTCGATCGAAAGGTCGGCAGTTCAGCGGTTTGAATCCCTAGTTCCGCGTAACGGGGTGAGCTCCCATGACTTGTCCCAGCTTCTGTCAACCTAGCAGTTCGAAAGCAGGTAAAAAAATGAAAGTAGGAAAATAGGGACCCCCTTTGGTGGGAAGGGAACAGTGTTCCGTGCACCTTTGGCGTTGAGTCATGCCGGCCACATGACCACGGAGAAGTCTTTGGACAGTGCTGGCTCTTCGGCTTTGAAACTGAGAGGAGCACTGCCCCCTAGAGTCGGGAACGACTAGCACATATGTGTGAGGGGAATCTTTACCTTTCTCCAGAGTCAAGATTAACTCAACGACATGTTCACAGTCACAAATTGAAAAGATGAGCTCTCCAACGTTCGGTTCCATTGATCTCCTTCAGGGAGACCCACAGAATGGAGTCCAAGGCCTTGAAGGGGATCTTGGAGGTCTATTATTTACTTTTTTTATTTATTTATATCAAATTTATATACCGCCCTTCTCCCTGAGGACTCAGGGCAGTGGACAGCCAAATAAAAACATAGACAACAAACATTAAAATACTATTAAAAAGACATATATAAATTTAGCCCCGTAATTAAAAGACAATGACAAACCAATTAAAAACATTTAAAAGTGTTAGGCTTGCTGGAAAAAGAAGGTTTTAAGGGCACGGCGGAAGGCACCGAGGTCTTGGATTCTCCTTATCTCTGGGGGCAGCTGGTTCCAGAGGGTAGATGCCCCCACAGAGAAGGCCCTCCCCCTGGGGGTCACCAGCCTACATTGTTTGACTGATGGCACCCCGAGGAGGCCCTCTCTGTGGGAGCGCACGGGTCGATGGGAGGCCGTCGGTAGCAGCAGGCGGTCTCGAAGATATCTAGGTCCTATGCCATGGAGCGCTTTAAAGATGATAACCAACACCTTGAAGCGCACCCGGAAGACCACTGGGAGCCAGTGCAGCTCACGCAGGAGCGGTGTTACATGGGAGCGCCATGCAGCTCCCGTAACTACCTGCGCGGCCGCATTCTGGACCAGTTGGAGCCTCCGGGTGCCCCTCAAGGGGAGCCCCATGTAGAGAGCGTTGCAGTAGTCAAGGCGAGAGGTGACGAGGGCGTGAGTGACTGTGCGCAGGGAATCCCGATCAAGAAAGGGCCGCAACTGGCGAATCAGGCGAACCTGACAAAAAGTCCCCCTGGCCACAGCCGTCAGATGTTCCTCTAAGGACAGCTGCGTATCCAGAAGGACTCCCAGATTGCGGGCCCTCTCCGCGCGGGCCAAAGACTCGCCCCCGATAGTCAGAGATGGAGTCATCTGACTATATCGGGATGTCGGGAACCACAGCCACTCAGTCTTGGAAGGGTTGAGCTTGAGCCGGTTTCTCCCCATCCAGATCCGCACAGCCTCCAGGCACCGGGACATTACTTCAAGGGCATCGTTGGGGTGGCCAGGGGTGGAGATGTACAGCTGGGTGTCATCAGTGTGTTATTAGCCGAGTGGTCCCCAACCTTTGTGGCTTGGCGACCCGGTATGGGAGGAGAGGCCGTGTAAATGGCGGGCCAGTGCACGTGTGAGGAGTTCAACTTGCACGAGCGGTTGGCCGGCGGCGTGCATGCCCAGGCGTGCCAAACTCAATTTGTGCAAGTCGAGATGTGTGCGCATGTGCCAGCCCGCCGCTCGTGCAAGTTGCCTGCTGCTCCCGCTGCCCCGTTACGGATAGGCCACGGCTTGGGAGTTGGGGACCCCTGTTCTAGCCCAACCCCTGCTTAAGGCAGAAGAGCTTGTACCATTTCAATCAAATGGCTGTCCAGTTATTCCGTCCAGTGACGGAGGACCCACACTTCAGCGGGCAAGCTATTCCGTTAATCGTCCTCCCTGTCAGGCAGTTTCTCCTTCGTTCCAGGTTGCTTCTCTCCTTGGTTAGTTTCCCTGCGTTGTTTCTTGTCCTGCCTTCTGGTACTTTGGAGAATAATTTGACCCCCTTCCTCTTCTTTGGGGCAGCCCTTTAAATACTGGAAGACTGCTATCATGTCACCCCTAAACTTTCTTAGACCAGAGTTCCCGCAACAGTTCATCCTAATTTGCAGTGGCGCGGTGGTTAGAGTGCAGTACTGCAGGCTACTTCCGCTGACTGCCGGCTGCCTGCAATTTGGCAGTTCGAATCTCACCAGGCTCCAGGTTGACTCAGCCTTCCGTCCTTCCCAGGTCGGTAGAATGAGGGCCCAGATTGTTGGGGGCAAGAGGCTGATTCTGTAAACTGCTTAGAGAGGGCTGGAAAGCACTGTGAAGGGGGATATAAGTCTAAGTGCTATTGCTATTTTCCTTCCTTCCTTCCTTCCTTCCTTCCTTCCTTCCTTCCTTCCTTCCTTCCTTCCTTCCTTCCCGCCCTCCCTCCCTCCTTCCCGCCCTCCCTCCCTCCCTTCCTGTGGTTATAAATACAGAATTGCAAACAAACTTTCCCTACAGTTGGAGTTTGATCCTGACCGGCTCAAGGTTGACTCGTCCTTCCGTCCTTCCAAGGTCGGTAAAATGAGGACCCAGATTATTGGGGGCAAGAGGCTGACTCTGTAAACCGTTTAGAGAGGGTTGTAAAAGCGCCATGAAGCGGGATATAAGTCTAAGGGCTATTGCTAAGTGCGTTTATGGTTTAGCTTCCAGAGTCTTGGTCACCACACACACACACACACAGAGACACAAATTCGAAACATGGGCTCTCCATCGTTGGGTTCTGCTGCCGCATCCTTCCTCCAGTCTCACAAGTGTCACCCAGACCCCCAAAAAATGGAAGAAGAGGCAACACATGGTCAGATCTGTGCAATTTAGGGTAATTTTATTCTCCTATTTCAGAACGAAGGCAAAGGCAGAGAGTTATGGGGATTTGGGGAATGAGATGGGTGTGCGCGATGGGTTCCTCTTAGGGTGGGCGAGTGGGGAGGGTGAGTAGTTGCGTCTAAGTGATTATGTGGTTGTTAGGGAAGGCGGGGAGGGGGCTTTCCTCCCAGAGCTGAGCATCAGTTGCTGAGACCTTTCAAAGGTTTGGGTAACTGTTTAATCCCGGGGATTATTGTGCAGTCCCGGCTGGTGACAACTTTCTTTTCGGTTCTCATGTCGAGGAAGATTCCGAAGGTGCAGTTGTGTTTCTAAAGACAGCAAAGAAACCAAAGAGTTAGAAAATGGGGAGGGGTCCCTGAGAAGACAGGGATGCCGAGGTTTTGGATCAGGAAGTGAGAGGTTGGGGCATTGAGCCAGTTTGGCCTAGTGGTGAAGGCACCAGGCTAGGAAGCAGGAGACAGTGAGTTCTAGTCCCACCTTAGCCAAGAAAGCCATCTGGATGACTTTGGGACAATCACCAGGAGAAGGTGAGTTCTAGTACCGTTTTAGGCATGAAAGCTAAGTGACTGAGTCAATCACCAGGAGATGGTGAGTTCTAGTCTCTCCTTAGGCGTGAAAGCTAAGTGACTGAGTCAATCACCAGGAGACAGTGAGTTCTAGTCCCGCCTTAGGCATGAAAGCTAAGTGACTGAGTCAATCACCAGGAGACAGTGAGTTCTAGTCCCGCCTTAGGCATGAAAGCTAAGTGACTGAGTCAATCACCAGGAGACAGTGAGTTCTAGTCCGCCTTAGGCATGAAAGCTAAGTGACTGAGTCAATCACCAGGAGACAGTGAGTTCTAGTCCCGCCTTAGGCATGAAAGCTAAGTGACTGAGTCAATCACCAGGAGACAGTGAGTTCTAGTCCCGCCTTAGGCATGAAAGCTAAGTGAGTGAGTCAATCACCAGGAGACGGTGAGTTCTAGTTCCGCCTTAGCCAAGAAAGCCGGCTGGGTGACTTTGGGCCAGTCACTATCTCTCAACCCAACCTACCTTTCAGGGTTGTTGTGGGGAAAATAGGAATAAATAAATAAAGTTTATTGTCATTGTGTATACACAATAGAACGAAATTCACATAACACCCAGGGACCAGACCCAACTCACATGACAATCCGCAGACACACCCCCACCCACCAAAAATCCCCCAACCCCTAAAACCTCCCAAGCATCCACACAACAGACCAAGTAATGCTGTCCAACAGCTCGCCGTGGATGGTGTGCGGGTTATGTTCGCTGCCGTGAATTATTTGTCCAAATAATAAAGACAAGATACAAATCAAGCGATCCATAATGTGCCACAAAACCCAGCTGGTTTGTTTAACGGATTAACAGAGTTGGGAGGGACCTTTGAGGTCATCTAGTCCAACCCCACTTATTATGTGATTATTATATCCCACCCATCCCAGAGATAAAGGGGTTTTTTTTTGTGAGCTGGGCAGCTACATAAATGTACAAAAAGGGCAAAGCCAGATCGCCGAGCCTTAATTCAACCATCCCCATTCGAAACCGGCCATCGTTTTTGCTAGGCAGGGCCGGTTGTCCGAGATTCGAACTCGCAACCGTTACCTCCTGTTTAAATTGCGGTAGAAGCTGGCAACCCTCCTTCTCCAGGTAGGCTCTGGAATATTCCACGCCAGCCTCTTTTTGCTCTTCGGTTTTGGTGCAGTTCGTCTCGGCCAAAAGCATCTTGACGTAGATCATGACGCCGATGGCTTTCTGGCGGTCAGAGAAGAGGAAGAAGGAATCGCATTTCAGAAAGGTGGATTTGGATCACCCCGCGTCTCTCACTCCCTCGCCCTTACAAACCTCAGGGAGCTTTTTGAACTGCGTTGAGTTCAGTCCGGACCCTGAAACTTTTAAGGGTTCGGTTAAAAATTAAAAAAAATGTAAGGGAGGGCCTCTTTGGACCATGTGCAGAGCGCCTTTTCAATTTCAGCCATCAGGGAAGTAGAGTTTGTACAATATTTGCGCACACACACGAAAAATAGAAACAAATTTTGATGGGGGAGTAGAAAAAGAAAAGAATAAATAGGCTTTATATAAAAATGATGAGAGGGAGGGGTAAAGGTTGCAGGCTAGAAACCAGGAGATTGGAAGTTCTAGTCCTGCCTTAGGGGTGAAACTTGGCTGGGTGACTTTGGGCCAATCCCCAGGAGATTGGGAGTTCTAGTCCTGCCTTAGGGGTGAAAGTAGCTGGGTGACTTTGGGCCAATCCCCAGGAGATTGGGAGTTCTAGTCCTGCCTTAGGCGTGAAAGTCGGCTGGGTGACTTTGGGCCAATCCCCAGGAGACTGGGAGTTCTAGTCCTGCCTTAGGGGTGAAAGTCGGCTGGGTGACTTTGGGCCAATCCCCAGGAGACTGGGAGTTCTAGTCCTGCCTTAGGGGTGAAAGTTGCTGGGTGACTTTGGGCCAATCACCAGGAGACTGGGAGTTCTAGTCCTGCCTTAGGGGTGAAAGTCGGCTGGGTGACTTTGGGCCAATCCCCAGGCGATGGGAGTTCTAGTCCTGCATTAGGGGTGAAAGTCAGCTGGGTGACTTTGGGCCAATCCCCAGGAGACTGGGAGTTCTAGTCCTGCCTTAGGGGTGAAAGTCGGCTGGGTGACTTTGGGCCAATCCCCAGGAGACTGGGATTCTAGTCCTGCTTACCTTGAAAGTGGTCCTGGGTGACTTTGGGCCAATCCCCAGGAGACTGGGAGTTCTAGTCCTGCCTTAGGGGTGAAAGTCGGCTGGGTGATTTTGGGCCAATCCCCAGGAGACTGGGAGTTCTAGTCCTGCGTTAGGCATGAAAGTCGGCTGGGTGACTTTGGGCCAATCACCAGAAGACTGGGAGTTCTAGTCCTGCCTTAGGTGTGAAAATTGGCTGGGTGACTTTGGACCAAATGACGTATTAGGTCATTTGGTAGGTAGATCTTTGTAAGTGCGTAAATGGAAGGGGCTTTGGCTGGCGGAGGGGGTTCCTGCTCACCTTGTACTCCAGCTGTCCATCCTCCAGACGTTTGTAGTAGGTTCCCTCGCTTCGTTGATTGAAGTGGGCGATGGCTTGCTCCTTCCTGTGGCGAGGCACAGCATCGGAGGTTTGAGCTGCTTGTTTCATTATCATCTCTTGCTGTTCCTTGGCGAAGTCCTTGTAAATTTCACTCGAGTCCCCAGTTGAGTCTTCCGACTCTTCCAAAAAGGGGATCCTCATTCTAAAACGCCTTTTCTCCTTATGGGGAGCCTTTTTTTTGTCAGCCGCTTCTTCTTCTACTGCTACACGGGAAGGCTTCTTTTTGCCAGCCTCTTCCTCTCCGTGGGAATGCTTCTTTTTGCAACATTCTTCATCTTTGTGGTGATGCTTCTTCTCGCAACAACACTCCTCTTCCTCGTGGTGGCACCTCTTCTCGCAACAACACTCCTCTTCCTCGTGGTGGCACCTCTTCTTGCAACCTTCCTCCACGCAGCGACACTCCTCTTCCAAGGAACCCTCCTCTTCCTTGCCGTGTCTCCCTTCCACCGCAACCACGGCCAACAACAAAGCGCAGCTGAGAAGAACCAGCTGGAAACCCAGCCAGGACCTTCTCATGGTGGCCAGGAGATGCTGAAAGGAGCCAACGATCCTGGCTGGAGGACGGAGGCTGATATACCTCTCAGGAAGCCCCGCCTCTTGGGTTGGCTCCACCCAACAGCTGGTAGAACCCCGTCTCTTTTAAGTCAGGTCCGCCCATTGGCAAGATCTGGGAGGAAGGAAGGGCTGAAGAAGTCCATCCCATCGTTTCACTGTCCCTCGTCATTCCAAGGAGACCTCACTTGGGGATGCCAAGGCACCGTAGACAATGGCTTTTCTTCCTTCATCTCGTCAGCAAATTTGTGTCGTGGCAATGCAGGAGAATAAGTGTTAGGAAGGGACCCTGGAGGTCTTCTAGTCCAACCCCCTGATGACAAGAGGCCCTGTACCATTCCAGAAAAGCGGCTGTCCTGCCTCTTCTTAAAAGCCTCCAGTGATGGAGCGCCCACAATTTCTAAAGGCAATTTGTTCCACTGCTTTATTGTTCTCACTGTCAGGAAATTTCTCCTTAGTTCTAAGTTGCTTTTCTCCTTGATTAATTTCCACCCATTGCTTCTTGTCCTTTGGAGAAGAGCTTGACTCCCTCTTTTTTGGGGCAGCCCCTAAGATATTGGAAGACTGCTCTCATGTCACCCCTTTTCACTAGACTAGAAATAGACTAGAAATAGAATAACAGAGTTGGAAGGGACCTTGGAGGTCTTCTAGTCCAACCCTCTGCTTAGGCAGGAAACCCGATACCATTGCAGACAAGTGGTTATCCAGCATCTTCTTAAAAACTTCCAGTGTTTGGAGCATTCACAATTTCTGGTGGCAAGCAGTTCCACGGGATAATTGTTCTCATTGTCAGGAAGTTTCTCCTTTAATGCCAGATTGATTAGGTTCCATCCGTTGCTTCTTGTCCTGCCCTCAGGTGCTTTGGAGAGAAGTTTGACTGCCTCTTCTTTGGGGCAGCCCCTGAGATATTGGAAGACTGCTATCATGTCACCCCTGGTCCTTCTTTTCATCAGACTAGACATACCCAATTCCTGCAACGGTTCTTTATATGTTTTGGCCTCCAGTCTCCTAATCCTCTTGGTTGCTCTTCTCTGCACTCTTTCTAGAATCTCAACATCTTTTTGATATCGTGGTGACCAAAACTGGATGCAATTATTACCAAGGCCTTATAAAGTGGTATTAAGTCTTCACGTGATCTTGATTCTATCCCTCTGTTAATGCAGCCCAGAACTGTGTTGGCTTTTTTGGCAGCTGCAGCGCACTGCTGGTTTATGTTGTATGGATTATGAGTAAAAAAAATAAAGCTTAAATTTCCTTTATTTACTGGTAGGATTATTGTCCATTTATTCGTACTCATTTCTTATGTTTATACCTGTTTATACTTATATGTTTATATGTTATATTTATTCTTATACTGTACTTATTTTCTCAAACATGCTTGACAAATAAAATAAATAAAATTAACCAAGAGGTACCTGATCACTATTCCAACTTTTGGCAAAACACTTTGTGTGAACACTGGGGGAAACCAGGATTAAGAGCCGTGACTGGGAGAGGGATCTTGGAGTCTTAGTGGACACCCAGCTAAATATGAGCCAGCATTGTGCAGCAGCAGCCAAAAAAGCCAGTGCAATCCTAAATTGCATTAACAGAGGGATACAATCAAGATCAAGGGAGGTACTAACACCACTCTGTAAAGCCCTAGTAAGACCACACCTAGAGTCCTGCATCCAGTTTTGGTCACCACACTTTAAAAAAGATGTTGAGACTCTAGAAAAAATGCAGAGAAGAGCAACCAGGATGATGAGGGGACTGGAGGCTCAAACATACGATGGACGGTTGCAGGAACTGGGCCTGGCTGGTCTAGTGAAGAGAAGGACCAGGGGAGACAGGAGAGCATCTTCCAACATTTGAGGGGCTGCCCCAGAGAGGAGGAAGGGGGTCCAGCTATTTTCCAAAGCACCCAAAGGCCAGACAAGGAAGAATGGATGGAAACCGATCAATGAGAGATTCAACCTGGAAATAAGGAGGAATTTTCTGACAGTGAGAACAATCAACCGATGGAACAGATGTTGCCTTGCCTTGAGTCCATTATTAGACCATCAAGGCTCCTTCCAGTCCTAGAATTCCATGTATTGCATTGTAATGTCTTTTTAAAGGGGGGGGCTGTTATTCTTATTCTTGAGTGCCAGGGGGTTATATGTTGTGGGGTTTTTTTTTTTGTATTTTTAATTCTGGCATGCTGCTCAGTCATTTGTGTGAGGTGGGTGGAGGGGATGTACAAAAGGAGTGGGGGAAGGACATGGAGGGAGAGAGGGAGGATGGAAGGGAGGGAGGGAGGGACGTGGAGTGAATGAGTGAGTGAGGAAGGAAGGGAGGGAGGGAGGGTATGGAGGAAGAGAGGGAGGGAGGGACATGTGGGAGGGAGGAGGAGAGAGGGGAAAGAAGGTAGAAAGGAAGAAAAGAAAGGAAGGTAGAAAGGAAGAAAAAGAAGGAAGGAAGGAAGGAAAGAAGGGAGGGAGGGTATGGAGAAAGGGAGAGAGGAAAGAAGGTAGAAAGGAAGAAAAGAGAAGGTAGAAAGGAAGAAAAGGAAGGAAGGAAGGAAAGAAGGAAGGAAGGGTATGGAGGAAGGGAGAGAGGGAGAAAGGGAGAGAGGAAAGAAGGTAGAAAGGAAGAAAAGGAAGAAGGAAGGAAGGAAGGATTTATTTTCAAATTCGCTCAGAATTCTCTGTGCTGTGAAATCCTTGGCATCCTCTCTGCTAGCTGTCCCTGACCTCTCCCAATTTGAGGCCGAATTCTTTTCCATGCTTTCCTAGCTGGAGATCCTGGGATCTGAACGTGGGATCTTCTACCCATGAAGAAGACCCTTGGACACTGAGGGAGCCACAGTCTCATTGCTGAAACCCTCCCCCAAATCCTCCCATCCCTCTCTGATCTCTTGACGGTGGGCCAGTTTTCTTGGCCTCTTTGGTTTTGGACTCGCCTTTGAACTTTCTCCCAGCCTGATTTTTGGGGGCCACTCAGATTGCTCCCCTCTTTCTCCGGACAGGATGTTATTATTTCTGGCAAGGAGATCCTTCCCTGGACCACGCATGCATGGCCAGTTCTGGCCAGAATACTTTGAAGTCATTGAGGGACCAGAAGTAAGAAGCATCTTCAGAACGTTTTGTGTTTTTAAAAAGGAGCCAAAGATGATAATAATAATTATAAAGTCAGTCAATCCCAGACAATGAACAAAGAAGAGCCTTCATTTCTGAAATCCCCAATTCACCTGGGTTTGACTTGGCAAAGATTTGGCCGGAGCCAATTTTAAGCACATTAGAGATAACCGATGCACAAATATTCCAACCGGCCAAGAAAAATCTCCGGTGACCTGGAAAAATATTGGATTATTCTCCAAAAGGTTAATTTTCTCCATCTTGGTGTGAAAAGACACCTGTAAAAATCCCTGCTTTCTTTCTTTCTTTCTTTCTTTCTTTCTTTCTTTCTTTCTTTCTTTCTTTTCTTTTCTTTTCTTTTCTTTTCTTTTCTTTTCTTTTTTTAAAATTTGATTTATATGCCGCCCTTCTCCGGAGACTCAGGGCGGCTTACAATGTGCTCAGCAATAGCCTTCATCCTTTTGTATATTTTATACAAAGTCAGCTTATTGCCCCCACAATCCGGGTCCTCATTTCACCTACCTTAGAAAGGATGGAAGGCTGAGTCAACCTTGAGCCTTGGCGAGATTCGAACCCTGCAGTAATTGCAGGCAGCTGGTCTTAATAACCAGCTTAATAACAGGGTGCCTTAAACCACTGTACTACCAAGGCTCTTTTATTTTTTTTTATTTTTTTTTTAAAGGAAGATAAAATTTACTCCACAGTTGTTTTTATTGGGAATAACTGTAGATTGTACAATTATAGAGACTACTTTGATTTTGAATCTAATAACGGCAGCCAGACTTTTGGTGGCGCAATATTGGAAGAAGGAAGAATTACCTACTATTGAAGAATGGACATTAAAAGTAGCTAATTTGGCGGAGATGGCTAAAATCTCTGCATATTTGAAGGACCGTTCGAATGAAAGATATGTACTGGAATGGAGAAGATGGATTGACTATATACAAAACAAATATGGGACTAAAAAGTTGCAAATAGCTTATGAATGAAATATTTAGATGATTTTTCTTTTTATTCTGACATTTTGGTGCCTATGGGGGAGTTAAAGAGTAAGGGGGAGTTAAGAGCTTATAGCTAGTTTGTTTATGTTAGATTATGTTTGTTAAATGCAATACCCTGTATTTTGCTCTGGGAAGTCGGGGGGGGGGAGGGAGAAGGGAATGGGTGGGGGGAGGAGGGGGGAAAATTTGTTTGTAAAAAAAAAGAAAAAAAAATTCCCTGCTTTCGATATCTGTTCCAACACACTCACCTTTCCCCAAGTCTAATCTTTTAATCCCTTTTCACCCATTTCATCTTCCAGAGGGGTCAGGGGAAAAAAAATGTCTAAACTTAATTTCTCTTTGTTGTTCTTTTTTTCCAGCAAGAAAAAAATCAAACGTGCCGAGAAGTTTGACCTTAGTGCCTTCCGCCGTGCCCTTAAAACCCACTTTTTCCAGCAAGCCGGGCTGGCTTAAGAAGAAAGTTTAAATGTTTTAATTGGTTTGTATTTTTAATTTTGGGCCAAATTTATATATATTTTAATTGTTTTTTAATATTTGTATTTTATGTTTTTTAATTCTGGCTGTACACCGCCCTGAGTCCTCAGGGAGAAGAGCGGTATATAAATTTAAAATAAATAAATAAATAAAAGTTTCTTTGCGAGAACAATGTACCTCTCTCACAGAAATTTTAGGTGGACGTGGAGGGCCGGGGTAGGATTTGACACACAGACCAAAAGGACCAGAAATGTCACCATTTCTTTCTTTCTTTCTTTTTTTTAAAGGCCATTTTTTGGGTCTACCCCCCCGAATGTCAAATTTATTGATTGATTAAACTTATAATTTAAAGAGGGGGGAAAAAAAAGACATTGTAGAAGGATGGCTTTGGCGGCATCTAAAATCCTTAAATTGGTCTGAGTGGAGCAGTC